AAATTTACAAATTTTCTGTGGGTAAGTGAATGATGCCCCTCGTACTTTATTAATGGTGACATGGTGATTGCTTATAAATTTTTAGAAGCGAGTGCAACTTGGTGGATAAAGCAATGGAAATCGTGTCCATAAATTCCATGTTTTTTCAATTGCCCGTAAAGCATTCGTATTTTCCAGTCATAACCCTGCAGGAAATTGAATTTTACCTGCAACGAACTCATTTATTTAACATGGCGATGTCCTAGGAAGCAGTCAATTGCCTTTTCCTGCATGTATTTTCAACTACTTTAAAATGAATTTGGCTTAAACAACTTCAAAGTCAGTATGTTTCGTTTAAATAGCTTTCTTCTGCACTGCACAGATGCTTTTTCAAAAGAAAATCCGAAATTAAAAATTTAAAATTAAATGAGATTGGAACATGGACATTCTTGGCTACGACCAATTGTAGCAAACATCCTTGCACGCTCAGTTTGAATTGTGTGCGCGCAGCAAGTCGACTGTCCGACTCTGCATTTAATTTCAACTACTTTAAAATGAATTTGGTTTTGAATAGGCTTGCATTCTGGACTTCACAGATGCTTTTTCATACTTCCAAGACACAAATTGTTTTTTTTTTAGCAAAAACAGAATACAAATTCGAAACGTTTACTCTTTGCATTTGTTTTAAAGTAGTCTTTCAACTAGTTGATTTACAAAAAAAATCACTTGTTTCCGTCAGGGAACGTTTGCTTCATCTGTACACACTCCTGCAAATTTTTTTATGTCAGCAACTGAAAAAAACCTTTTCGTCGACGTAAAGTGAAAATAGGCTGGTTTGCTTTATACAGCCCGTTTTGAATTTGAATTATTGCTTGCTTCCATTTCGGTCAACCGAGCCAATTAATTACACAGGTCCACAAAAAAAAATCTATGAAAGGTTCCTTTGACCAAACCTAGTCTGTTATATGTTTGTGGGGTCTCTGAACACGAATCTGAAGTCCGTTTTGCTCCATCACGTCTGGATTATTTTCTAACCTCAAAAAACATCTCGGATTTACGTGACTTTTTTTCAAAAAATTACTGGTTTCGGTGTACCCCTGCTGATATATTTCTAAATATTCCCAAAGCTCACAAAAAAATTAAATGTGAAAATTAGATCTAACAATGTAAATTTGCATCGCGGGTGAATTCAAAAACTAAGCTCAGAGGGGACAAAATAAAAGTAAAATATTTTTTTGTGTTCTATTTATATAAATAATGTGATTACGAACTTGTAGGTTTTAAAAAATAGAGCTCGTAAATACACCAAAATACTCTCTCGCTCGGAAGAGTTATATTAGTTGTGTTTATTTACAAATTAGCCAGTAACTTGCCAGCAACTCTCCAGTAAGTGTATTTCTAAGAATTCGCACTCATAGAAAAAATTTGCAACAAAGTACGCGAACGCTATTCCAGTAGTAATTTGCAAGTTTCATGAACGGCTGATAAATTGGTTGTTTATTCGCAGCAAATTCCTAATAAAACAATATATTTTATATTTAAATAGGTTTATTTTGTGAATTTCAACAATGAAAACCCAAAAACAGTTTTTTTATTAGTTTAAATTTCATTCAGCAACTTGCGATCAGCTGTTTTTCTTACTGGGAAATTCTTATAAGTAAAAATTTATCCAGTAAAATCCAGTAACAACTTGAAACTTCAACTGCCATTTTTCGCTCTCTCAATTTCCCCTACTTTGAAAGTTTTTGCGTACGAAAACGCCAAAACATGAAAATTCGTAAACACTTTTACTGGATTTTACTGAAAATGAGTAAACAAACGCAACTATTTTTTAAACTCATCAAATGTTCGGCTCACACATGACTTTGCACGTGCAGTATATGTAAAATAGTTTATTTGTATTAATGGCAACATTTTAATTTTTATCGCTCCGAGTTTTAAAGTGAGGCGAAAAATATTTATAACATATTTAAAACACAAAACTTAGACATCAAAACGGCTAAGCTTTTTACGCCTAACTTTTAACTCAGTAACTGACAATAGAGAAAAGAACGAGCTTAAAAAAATCGATGACATAACCAAGCAAGCAAGAAGCACAAATCTTCTTCAAGCCAAGATGGGCAAATGGACTTGTCATTTACGCCTATCACAGTCAGGTGTTTGTACCACATGAAGTCCAGCAAGTTGTCTGCAGTGTCGTCTGCTCAGTGAGAGCAAAAAATTAGATAGGCCTTGTGAGATTGAAGCAACATGAGTTTTGCCCACCTGCATCACCCCGCTGCCTCTCAGTCATTTCTGAGCGAAGTATTCACCCAGCTTCTGATGGTGCTTCGATTGCTGAAGGTGGGAGTGCTAAAACTGGTAGCGGACCGAGGAATGCCTGGTCTGAGCAAACTCTGGCCAAATGATCAGATGTCTCATAACCAGGTACTCTAGAGTGAGCTGGCTCCCACAGTAAAACAACATCGTTATGTTCACTATCATATTTTAGTCGAGACTTGCATTGCCGAACTAGTTTGGAAGTACTTAAATAGAAGGCTGGTCAATGCCTTAAGTGCAGCTTGGTTGTCACTATAATAATAATAGATTGGCGCTTACACATATGTTAGTGTTTGGCCGAGCTTCTCCTCCGATTTGTGACGTGCGCCTTGATGTTGTCACACAAAGCGGAGGGACCTACAGTTTTACGCCGACTCCGAACGGCGATTGTATTTTTATGAGAAGCCGTTTTTCATGGCAGAAATACACTCGGAGGTTTGCCATTGCCTGCCGAGGGACGACCGCTGTTAAGAAAAAACCATTTTCTATATTTTTTTGCGATGTTGCTTTGACCAGGGCTTGAACCCAGGCGTTGCGGAGTGGAAGCGCGCACTGCTTACCACTACACCTCAGCGGCCAACGTCACGGCGTCACTGCAGTCACGTAAACTCCTTCCCCTCCACCTATGTTCCAGCACGTTATTGCAATTATCTCAGCCTAGAAGACCGAAGCATATTCCTCCACAAAAAAGTGAAGCTTATCTCCATTAACCTCGAAAAAGACCCCAGATCCTGACCCAAAGTCAGTTTTGGAGCTATCAGTGAAGATTCGACAATGTGTGAGTCCCGTCTCAGCGATGGAATCAAACCAGCATTCAGTCTCAGGGAACTCAACATTACAGGATCTCTTCAACAAAGGTAATGGTGACGTATTATCCTGTAGCATTGAAAAGACACAAGTGCTTAAACCTCTGCCGCCAACAATTTTCGGCGCGCAACACTCATGTTCATACCAGCATCCGGTTCTTTTTAAATTACAGGTGGCCTTTAAGGCTTCCCCACGTATGAAAACACAAAGTGACGGTAAGTGCAGCAGTGCGTCGAGAGCACGATCCAGAAAATAAAGGTCGCGCCATTCGCGGACCGCTAACCCTCTCTTCGCATCCACCCAATCGCTGACGTCATAATATACTTTTGTTTACATTCACTGTTGCCAACTTGATGCTTTTCGCACCAAATTTAGTGGGTATTCAAAACGTGAAAATTTTTGAGTTTTGTGCTTGGTGCGTTTTTGGTGCTTTTGTTTTTAGTTTGAAAACTTCAAATTAGAGCCTTTGATTTGCCGGGATTGTTCGAGAAGCAATTTCTCGCGAGGATCGCTTCCTCACGAGATTCTCGTGTGTCGAACAACTCGTAATACTCGCAAGCTTCTCCATGGTGAATTTAAGGCAGCGTATTTACTTTAGGGTATTTAAACCCTGAACTGTTGAATTTCTTTCAAGCGCAATACTCGTAGCTCTCCAGAATATCAACCATGCGCATGTTCGTTTTCAGTGAGGTCTGTATTGTCCAACCATATGGAGAAGCTTTACAAATACCAGGTTGCACTGTTCTTATCCATTTATTACTTTTACTCACTTTCTTGCTGCAGCCATCAAACATACAGCATATACATCGAACTAAATTTTTCTTATACGCACAAACATTTTTTTTTTTGACAATAGAATATTTAACATTTACACATACATTTTTTTTTTTTGATTTTGTTTTTAATACGTTCGATATGCTCTTACATACGTATGTCTGGATAACTACTCGAAATTTCTAGCGAGAATGGCGATACCCGAGATCGTGTCGAGAACTCGATTACTCGATTTCCCGGGTATCGAAGTGCTCGAGAATGTACGAGCAGAAATCGAAGGCCCTAATAAAAATTTGGTGCTTTTTCAAATTCAAAACTTGGCAATACTGCCTTTTGTTCGATGCTTCTTCTCTTTCTTGTCGAGTTCGTCTTGCTCTCTCATTCTGGTATATTTTGACGTCACGGCAAGTTGCTCTCAGCTCGATTGGCGCAATCTTGTATTCAATCATTCTTGCGTCAAGAGCACTTACATCACTCAAAAAAAATTTAAGTTAAATCAAGCAACCATTTTGGTTCTTTACATTGAAACCAGATAAATTTTCGTGGACACCAATTTAAAACTCATGAACCTCCATATTTTGTTCACGTCACCGTGGACCCCAGTCGAGTCTTCCGTGGACACCTGGGGGTCCACAAGGACCACTTTGGGAACCACTGCTATAAATAAATCTCAGGGGGAAGGATTACAAAAGGTTGGTATTTTATTACAAACACCTGTACTTTTCTCATGGACATTATATGTAGCTGCCAGTAGAATTCGTTCGTTTGACGGGTGGCGGTTCTACATTTCAGATAGTTCAGATGAAGGTCATTTGTCTGCCGAAAAAAATGGTTTTTACAAAAAAAAATAATTTGTAGAGAAATTGTTAGGGGTCTTAAAAAAACTAGAAAACGGTCGAATCTCGACAGTAACTGGCACTCTAGTCAGTATTATGTGCCATACATCAGACATACATATGTATGTATGTACGCACATATACATATGTACATATAAGGGGCATGTGCGAAACAGAGCATACAATCCACTCGGTTCATACTCGTTACAAGTATTTTTGCTATGCACATACAACAAATTTGTTAAAACTCCCTAGGGGTGAAGTCGTTCGCACTCAGCGGATTTTTATTTAGTAATTTCGTACTCTTCAACGCGTGGCGTTGCTCGAAGAAACAAAGCTTTCAATTATGAGCGGTAGCTTTTTTAAGAAAATCAGTGCTTGAAAGTAGTTTTAAAGGGTTAAGCGTTTAATATATGTATGTATGTATCTATCATCTGTATAAATAAAATAACAATAACATATATACATATTTATGTGTGTAACTAGGTAGTGTATCGTTTTGTACATATCTATATGAGTACGAATTGAAAAAGCAATGCAGCGTACTCTCGTAATAACTTAGCGACTCGCAATAAGCGAGCAAGTGATAAGCTATGCCGAGTTAATTGATATGAATATGGACTTACAAACATATGTACATACAGTGGCGGATCCAGGGGGGG